GCTTCATAGTGAGAGCATTCTTCCTAATATCCAACCTTTGTGGTCTTAATTTAAAACCATTACTCCTTGTCCTATCCTCTGCAGACAAGGAAAAAAGTGCATCACCACCCTCTTTATACTACCCTTCAGGTATTTGAAGACTGTTATCAAATCCCTCCCTCAGTCTTGTCAGTTCTTCTGACCTTTTCTCATAAGTCATGTTTCTAATCCTTTGTACACTTTTGTTGCTCTCTTCTGAACTCTCTAATTTGAACACAATTTTCTTGAAGCGTGGTTCTCAAAATTAGACATAAAACTCCAGGTGAGGCCTCACTGGTGCCAAATAGATGGGAAGGATTGGATTATTTACCTTGATTTGGAGATGGCATTCCTGCTGTATACAGCCCAGTATGCTTTTGTGTGTGTGTTTTTGTTTGGACGGGGAAAGGGTTGGTGGGGGGGTGGGGAGCTTGGTAATAAAAGCACACTGTTTCCTCATTCAGCTTGTGTCCACTGACTCCAGGTCCTTCTCTACAGTACTGCAGTTCTTACTAGTCATTCTCCAATCCATGCGCTTGTCTATTGAATGTCATTCAAATTAATTTCAGACCACTTTTCCAGTTTATCAAGGTAATTCTGAATTCTAATCCTGTTCTCCAAAGGATCTGCACCCCCACCCAGCTTGGTGTCATCTGCAAATTTGCTAAGTATTGCTAAATCTTATTCTCCAAGTTATTAATGAAGAATAGATTATTCTATCTTCTGTGATAGTCCCATTACAGTTCCTTGTTTGTAAATTTGATTGACAGAAAATAAGACTAACACTTGCTGGGGTTTTGTAAAGATATTCACAGAGAAAATTATCAAGTTCAAATAAGCTAACAAGGTTCTTTGGGTAGAAGTGATTATCTTTTATTAGACCAACTAAATAGTTGGAAAATTGTGCCCAAAAACTTGTGAAGAACAAACACCCTTCTTCAGGCATATAGAGAGTCTGCTAGTGAATTGTGTGCTCTCCTGGGCAGAATAAAAGCCAAAATGCAGGTCTGTGAAAATGCAAGTGCCTGGCAGTAAGGATCAGAGGGGTGGAAGACGATAGGTGTGAGACATATGGGGGAAGGAAGAATGTAGAACTGGTGATAGAAGAATGTAGCTGGTAAAAATGCAGACAGGTTACCTTGGGTTATCAGATGGCAGGCAGGTTATAATGTGCCATAAATCCAATGTCTATTTAGTCCATGATTTTTATTATATCCAGTAGATTTATGAAGTGAAGTTCATAGGCTTATCTGCAAAAGGTGTTTTGTAAATTCCCCTTGAGAATTAGAACTGAGAGACTGAAAAGAGAGTGTTTTTCTTGTGAAAAGTGTACCCCCACAGGTAATTGGGTATTTTTATCTTTGATAGATTTTTGGTATGCATTCATTCTGGTACACAGTTGCTGGTTGGTTTCTCCTACATATTTTCTATCAGGGCATGTAGTTCATTGGATGAGATGTATTACATTTCTGGTGGTGCAGGTGTAAGATCCAGTAATGGTGATGGTTCTGTTGTGGGGTGTAGTTATTGTGGGAGTGGTGAAGATATGTCGGCAGGTTTTACATTTTTTGTCTCAGCCTGGTCTGGATTCATTCAGTGTGTTTTGGGCGATAGGAAGTCTGCTTCTGGTGATGAGGTTGGTGAGGTTCAGTGAAGGGTGAGATTCAGGGTATTTACAGCCACTTTACCTTGCATACAATGGGTGGTGGGGATGAGGATTTCGGCCACAGTGAGTACTTCGTGAACAAACCAGATACAAAATTTGTTCTGTTAGCTGTTCATCAGGCAGTTGTGAAGGGCACACTCACAACAATGTTTAAGAGCACAGGCAGTCCTCAACTTACAGCATTTCAACTTACGGCGATTCATACTTGCAGTGCTACTTACACCCATATTATTACTTACACTGCTGAATCCTCACACTTGGGCACTACAGGGAAATTTTACAATGAGAAAAAGAGGGCAGCAAAACAAACATTGCTGGATAAGTTTCTCAAAAAGCCATCAAGTGGCCCTAAGTCTCCCCAAAATCTCCCCAAAGAAGCCCTTCTGACTTCCATGACCCTGATGGTGTTCCTTCACCTTCTGATTAAATAAAATTTTATGCGATTTGTTACTGTATTGCCCTGTTTAATCGATTTATATACAGTACACTTTAGAAAGCTTTGTACTGTACAGTGTATATCATTTATAGTTGATTTACATATGGTGTTTATGGCCTTTTCTATAAAAAGGTGGGCATCAGGCCCTTGGTCAGGAACATAACCCCCTATTATAACACTATTTCTATGGGAAAATCAGATTCGACTTGCATCATTTCGACTTACAGCACCTTTTCCAGGAATGTAACCCACTGTAAGTGTGAGGACTGCCTGTAATATACAAATGGAAAATAGAGCTAAATTTGTCAGGTGAATTATGTACAAAGAATAATATCAAAAGCTTGCATCAAAATTCTTTGGAGTTGTAGGAAATGTACTTTTCACTGTAATACTTGACTTTTTTTATACTGTAAGAGTATTGTATGAAGGAGAACCTACAGAGAATGTCATAAGTATCTGATTGGCTGAGTCATTTTTAAGATTATTTTGTTTTTCTGTCTTAAAGTCTAGGGACCCTATCAAGTTGGATGATCTGAAGGCAGAGGTATCACCACGGATATCAGCAGAAGATCTGATTGATTTATGTGAACTGACTGGACCCAGCCATTTCAAAACACCTACCAAAAAAGCCAAATCTAGCAAGCCAAAACTGCTGGTGGTTGATATCCGTAACAGTGAAGAGTATCCTTTATGACTAAGGCCATATTTTCAATCCTTTTTTTTTTTTTTTGACTGACCTTGCTTATTTTCATTGCTAGTAATGTGGTGCTAGAATGGTAAATAATCTAAATGGCTCTATAGATGTACAGTAGATTTACTAAACCTAGCATTGATAATCAAAGCTCTTCCTCTGTGGAAAAGACATTCCCCATAAATCAGTTTCTTTCTTTCTGTCTAAAAAATGGTTACAGTTAGTTCAGTTTGCACTAGCTCAGTACAGGTGACCTTAAATCTCAGGGCATTTGTAGACTATCCTGATGTAATGAAACGTTGGATTAGTGTAAAGCTGACACAGCTGACTTTCAGCCACTTGCTTCTGGCTGATCTTTTCCTTTCCCAACATTGTGATTGGAGTTGTTTTGGAAGTGGGACTTTGCAGAAGTCTGAAAGGATAAAAGAAAAATAGAGAAGAGGACTAGTATACCATCCCATTTGGAAAAAAATTGTCCAAGTGGTGCATTCTAGCAGCCACCAGTTAAGGTACCTAGAGGTTAATTTTTAAATTATGCAAGAAGGCTGTCCTAACCTCAGAGCTTTTGTGCAATCAGAAGACACACTAAGGTGGCTGAAAGCTACCTTTTCCTTGGTATGGCTGAGGAAGAAATCCTATCTTTCTTTAAATTGTCATTCAAACTTGTTTTTCCATGCAGCATAACTTCAGGTATTTTGTTGGGTTTCTTTCCATTTCACAGTCGCATGAGTTTTTTCCAGATGAGCTCCAACCTGGTGCCATGTTGTCCATAAATCACAAGATATTATTGGATGTAGCTTCATCTCATAATGAGTTTTTCAGAATCTAGTTAATTACACTTGAGCCATTTTTAAAAATTGCTTCTTTCAAAAGAGCAAAGTCCATATAAGCTACAACCTTTTGAAGGAGCTAATTCTCTAATTTTGCTGTGTGACAAGATACAATGTCACCCTGATCATAAGTTCCTATTTATGTCATGACAGCAAACAATGGCTCATGATAGTATAGCAGGTCATAAATTAATAACCATTTTATAGTAGTTGAGACATCCACAGAATTAATGTATTTCACAAGTATCTATTTGTTCTATGTAGGATGTACTGTAGTATATGAATATGAAAGAAGAGCTTTGGACTTCAATTTTCTATAAAATTTACTGAGGTTTGTTTCAAGTGTAACACCCCGCTGCGGGGTCATAACCACTGCCAGTGGCAATTTGTGGGACCCTGGGGCACCAGCTAGACCCGTCCTCTTGGTTCCTTTGGGCTAACAAGGAACCTCAAGAGGATCCCAGTATGGGGATACCTCCTGTAGCAGCACTCTGACAGAATAGGTAACTCTTTACAATAGTTATTATGTACATATTAATTTATATTTGGATATTTACATGCATACATACATATATTTACACTTGTATTTATACATTGCTCCCTATTCTGAGGTTTAATTCATAACTCAGTTAACTTATGGGATAAAACTAATGAACTCAATGCTTATAAATATATATATAACTGTGTAACAACTTATGTACACATATAGGTAGGTGATCACACACCTGGTGGAGCTGTGGCAACAGTAGGTCCATTCTCCATACAGCAAGGCAACCTTACATGTGTCCAAAATCCAAAAGAACCAAAACACAAATACCCCAATTTTTGTTAAAAATTATACAGTCCTGGTAGGTCTGATGTAGACACCCAGAATAAGTCTTTCAGTTGACTGCTGTTGTCTTGATGTCACCTTAGTTCAGGCAAGAGTAATCAGTCAGGTGTGGGTGCAATGGGAGCTCCCTCAGTGGCCCTGGGGCTCTACTCCTACTGATGGCTGGTGCTCTTGCTCAACCTCCTGTAATCCACAAACAACCTCCTCCCCATGACATCCCTTTCTGCCCCTCAGACAGGGCTGATGGGTCTGCTTTCCTGGAGGCTAACTCACTCAAGGCCCCCCACGTGGGAGTCCACTACAAGAGGAGAGGTCTAAGCCTACTCACCAACTCCCAGCCCCAGGTGCTTCCCTATCCCTTGCTGTCCCCCACAATGAATTTGTAGATGGCCACAAGATCACCTCTCATCCTTACCTTATGAAGGCTGAAGAGATCCAGGTCCCTCAATCTCTCCTCATAGGGGCTTACCTGCAGGCCCCTAACCATACGAGTGGCCCTCCTCTGGACCATCTCAAGGTTATCCACATCCCTCCTGAAATATGGCACCCAAAACTGGATGCAATACTCCAGCTGCAGCCTTACCAGTGCCACATGGAGGGGAAATATCACCTCCCTGGACCTGTTTGTGATGCACCTGCTTCCATCACTTGGCCCCCCCCAGCAAAATCCCTACAGTCTCCTCACTGCAGTTTGTCCCTCTCTCAGCTCCCCAGCTGTTCCCAAGGGCCACCCTTCTGCACTAGACCCTGGTGGTCGCTCCTCCTGGCCACAGAGCTCTGGGGCTCTGAAAGAGACTCTGTTTCCAGGGCCTGAAGGCAGAATTGCTCCAAGCCTTTTGCTCTGGTGTCCTCAAGAGGACAAAAATAACTCCCAGGCTCAGCTTAGTTTTGGCTCACCATGGGACACGCCCCCTATGGCTGAGTATCCCTTCTGTTACACTCTGTTACATAAGTAAGTATGGAAGTAGAGCAGGCTTGTTAGAAAGTATCTTGTTTTTGTTTAACCAAAACCAAAATTTTCATTCAGCAGTGGATCAATATTAACTATTAGGTTTTCATATGTACCCTGGATGTTTTTTCTACTGAGCTTGTATCAGATGCCTTAATTTTTATAAATTTTTTTCTTAACCAACTAACTTATTTGGTGATTTACAGTTTGACAAATCCTGATTTAAGAGGAATTGTAAGTCTGTCAAGAAGCAGTACTAAAAGATTTTTTCTGTATTTCTGTATTTAGATATGCTGTTTACTGCAAAACAGCAAGGTAGAATTTGGAAAACATTTTAATTTACAGTGTATGTTAGCAAAACACAAGTCATTGTTACAAAAGATATTGTCAGTCTCTGGAAATATGCCAACACTTGAACCAGCCACATGATCTGCAGCACTGATAAAACAAAGATAGTCAAAACTCCAAGCCGGTGTAATTTTTTCCCCTTTTTGTTTGTTTAACCTCATGCATCAGTTGAGGTTTCCAGCTAGTTGCAGGCTCAGCTACCTGAAAAGTTTGTTCATTATCTAGAGTTCAGTGGCTTGCTTTCCTCTTGGAATTAAGATTGATTTTAAATTTTATTCATAGAAAAGGTCAAAGTAAGGAATTCTTTTAATTTGGTCTTCATTATTCTTTATCATGTTCCTAAACTATTTTGTGGGAGATAATTACCTTATGAACAGGAGTGTACCTGCCAAATGAGAAGAAATGAGAATCAAACCTGTAAAAGGTTATTTTATATCACCTAGAAATCTCTAATACTATGTTCAGTAGTAAGTTTAAATATTCAAATGACAATTCTGTTGGTCTGTTTAATTTGGCTCTCCAGTAACCAAAGGAGCCCAATAGGAACACAGGGAATATAAAATGCTTATAATACATTTATTTCTACAGGCATTTCTATTGCTTATGTATAACAATTGGTTTATTGTATGTCAGTTGCGAAAACAAGGTATTTTTAAATATCTATATAGCTTTCTCAAGACTTCATTATTAGCTAGGTAGGCTGACACCATTGGGCTGCCATGAAACAATATGTGATGTTAAGAGCAAGTCCTTGTCTACATTGCAAAGTTGTCAACAGAATTTAAGTAATTTTGTTATTAGAAAACTTGCCAGAGAAGGATCATAAATTAGAAGTGACAGTGTAGTCCAATTTCTACTGATGATGATATTTTCAGGTTGGTGTTTTGAGACAGATTAATGAATGGGGTAGTATGGGAAGGAGCTGCTTAATAGGTTATATCATCTCTATGGATAAATAGCAGACTTAAGATTTTGAAAAATGATGAATGGTCAGCTTTGAAAGGGTACTTGTAATGACAGTAAGATATACTGGGTGAGTTGACCTTTTACTTGGAAACATGCCAACATGGTGCCCATTTTTAAGAAGGGGAGAAGGGATGAGCTGGGTAACTTTAGGCCAGTCTGTCTTACCTCTATTATTGGGAAAACACTAGAAAAAAATCATTAAAGAGTGCATTTGTGAAGGCCCAGCAGGGGAAACCAGCACGGGTTTGTTACAGGTAGATCCTGCCTGACAAACCTTATAGCCTTTTATGACCAGCTCACACACTGCCTTGACACAGGAACTGAGGCTGATGTCATCTACCTGGACTTTAAGAAGGCCTTCAATACTGTTTTTCATCCTATTCTCATAAGGAAGCTAACAGGCTGTGGAGTGGACACTTCCACAGTCAGGTGGGTGGCTAACTTGCTTAGGGACCGCACCCAGAGAGTCGTGGTGGATGGGTCATTTTCGACCTGGAAAGAGGTGGGCAGTGGCGTCCCGCAGGGGTCGGTCCTTGGACCTGTGTTTATTTAATATCTTCATCAGTGATTTGGATGAGGGTGTGGAGAGCACCCTGTCCAAGTTCGCAGGTGACACTAAGTTATGGGGCAAAGTTAACGCGCCGGAGGGCAGGGAGTGGATACAGGCTGATCTGGACAGGTTGGGTCAATGGGCAGAACAAAATGGGATGCAGTTCAGCAAAGACAAATGCAAGGTACTCTACCTAGGGAGCTCAGCGGCTGAGAGGGATCTAGGAGTCATAGTTGACTCCAAGATGAACATGAGTTGACAGTGTAACAAAGCCATCAACAAAGCCAATCACACCTTATCATGCATTAGCAGATGCATGACCAACAGATCGAGGTAGGTGATACTCCCCTCTATGTGGCATTGGTCAGGCCTCAGTTGCAGTACTGTGTCTGGTTCTGGGGGTTGCACTTCAAGAGGGATGCAGAGAATCTGGAGAGGGTCCAGTGGGCCACTCGTATGATTAGTGGCCTCCGTACAAAACCCTGTGAGGGGAGGCTGAGAGATCTGGATCTCTT